ATTCGAATTTATGTATAAACTATTTTGCATATGATAAATTCGCACCCTGATCTCTAATCGTTCTCCTTAAATCTATTTAATTGAAATATTTTGTTATTATTACTAACATTAGGTGGAAAAAATAATCAAAACAGCCAAGAGCTATTTTCCACCTAATTGCTTTATACTTGTACTGTTAATATAATCATCAATTTTGTGATTGTAAACTCTATCTGTATACAGATACATTTATTTTAGCAATAAACGTTATCTTATCTTATCTTATCTTATACTGAGATTATTTCTCCAGGATTGATATTACATACATAGATTATTTCTCCAGGTTTGATATTATATACTGAGATTATTTCTCCAGGATTGATATTACATACAGAGATTATTTCTCCAGGTTTGATATTATATACTGAGATCATTTCTCCAGGATTGGTATTACATACAGAGATTATTTCTCCAGGATTGATATTATATACTAAGATCATTTTTCCAGGATTAATATTATATACAGAGATTATTTCTCCAGGTTTGACTGAGATTATATATCCAGGTTTGATGTTATATACTGAGATGATTTCTCCAGGATTGATATTATATACTGAGATTATTTCTCCAGGTTTGATATTATATACTGAGATCATTTCTCCAGGTTTAATATTATAGTCGTGATCCTAGGATAGCAGGGGTTGCGCTAAGTTGAACTTCAACTTATATTATCTACGTTCATCAGGATATATACTGTATACAGTATTCTAAGTCTAAATCTTTATTGAAACATTCCTCATTAAAAATTAAAAAATAAACATAAATATCCGCTAAATACTTGATGCAAATATATATTTTATGTCAACGTTTTCTAACATAACCAGTTTTATATTTCTGTAAGCAAGAAAATGGCCAGAACTTTTCTCTTACAGAGCACATATAGGTGTTCGTTTTTTAAAAGGTTTAAAATTCAATTTTATTGGTATTTATGAGGAAGCAGAAAAGGTTTTTAAAAGGTTTAAAATTCAATTTTATTGGTATTTATGAGGAAGCAGAAAAGGTTTTTAAAAGGTTTAAAATTCAATTTTATTGGTATGCAGAAAAGGTTTTTAAAAGGTTTAAAATTCAATTTTATTGGTATTTATGAGGAAGCATAAAAGTGTGAAATACATAAACGGTCAAATAACCAGTCTTTCATATCGATAAAGTAGACCCAGGGTTACCCTTTTCTGAGACGACCGTATGAAGAAATGTACTATTCATATTATTTGCTGAATGCAAGCTTGTTTCTTGGCAAAATCATTTTGTATTCGATTGTTAGAATTCCTATTAGGAATTTTTATATACACTTTTTATTAAACTTCATTAAATTCTCATTTAGGGTCTATTCTTGCCTTCCACGAAAAAAATGCATAATGAAATAGTGTTCCAATCAAATGCTTTAGTCTAAATTATTTACAGTTTTGCTTATTTCATTGATACCAATACACCAATGTTGCAAGGACAGCAAATCCTGCAGCGATAACTAAACTGTTAATAAAACTTTGCAGAAGGTTTTCAGATTTAGATTCATCATAATATCTAAGTCCAGGTTCAGGTTCGGCTCCAAGCTTGTCTTCAACCTCAGGATCAACTTGATGTTCAGGTTCCGGTTCTGTCTCTATGTCCTCCTGGAAACCCTCCATGAATCCATTTAACAGCGACGCATCCTCCGTGCAATCCTCTTCTAGACAGGCAAATAATATTTTTTAGATAGACCCCCCTTAACCTAGCCTACTCCCAGCATGCAAGATTCGCGGGAAATCCAGAAAGTTTTCCGTTTTTCCGGTTTTCTGCGTTTAATTTTTTTGCTCTGAAAGTTCATATTTGGTGGTCCCAAAAGTTATTTTTGCGTAAGAAACATTAATTTTAAGAGATTTTTTTATTGCTAGGTAATGGGTGAATTTACGCAAATTTGCTTCAGAGGCGTGTATTGGCAAGGTATTTGCAAAGGGGGGGGGGGGGGAGACATTTCAAGGGTGCTGAAACCCCCCAGAAAATTATAATTTTTATTTTTTCCAGGAGGGTACAGCTCCAATTGCAACCCCCCCCCCCTCTGTATACGCTTCTGATATGTGTATTACGTTTAACGTTAGTTCTGTTAGAGGGGTAACAAATTTTAGCATCGATTCATTTTTCAAATTTATTAATGAAGATTTCTAAGGTTAAAGGTGAAATGAAAAATATTTCCGAAATTATAATTGTTTTACTGTAGCTAAATTCGCAAAGTAGAATCTGTTTATATATATTCCATTATAAAGTTTTGAAACTGTCTAAACTTCTGACTGCCTAATGGATTTATCAGGTTCGAAACCACAAATAATCAGATAAAAAAGTCATTGATGATACATATAGTCTTTGTTGTTAAATGGTGATAAAACATCAATCAAAGTCAAACTAAAATCTGTGTACCTGAGTTGTTATTTACTCCTTGTCTTTGGGTCTCTAGTCTCCGAAGAACCTGGAGAACTTCAGGTCCTAGTTCTACATTTCTCCGAGTAGGTATCTAAACCACACCAATTTATAATTTTTCCGGGTAGGTACCTAAACCACACCAATTTATCATTTCTCCGGGTAGGTACGTAAATTTCACCAATTTATAATTTCTCCGGTTAGGTACCTAAACCACACCAATTTAAAATTTCTCCGGTTAGGTACCTAAACCACAAAAATTAAAAATTTCTCCGGGTAGGTACCTAAACCACACCAATTAATCATTTCTCCGGGTGGGTACCTCAACCACACCAATTTATCATTTCTCCGGGTAGGTACCTAAACCACACCAATTTATAATTTATCCAAGTAGGTACCTAAACCACACCAATTTATCATTTCTCCATTTCTCCATTTAGGTACCTAAACCACACCAATATGTATCATTTCTCAGGTAGGTACCGAAACCACACCAATTTATCATTTCTCCGGGTAGGCATCTAAACCACCCAAATTTATTACTTCTCCGGGTAGGTACTTAAACCACACCTTTTAATGAAGTTTGCTAAAACATAAAAAAAAACTAAGGTGTAAGTAAGGTGTATAAACTATAATAGAATTACCATCTTATCATCATAAATTGTCAATTAGTGATATTTGTTTGTATGTTTATAAAGTAGTTTCATACATAAAAGAGAGGTACATTTTAAGCTATAAAGTATATCATACATTCATGGTTTGCTGCAGAAGTGCATGTAGCGACATGTTTCTTTTAAGGGACTGTATACGTAATTTTAAGGGACTGTATACGTAATTTTAAATGATAAATGACTTGCACTCATGTCCGATTCACAAATTATGAAATTATACTTTGTAAAAAAAACACAATTTAAAAGCAGCAATTTTCAGAGAGAAAGGAAGGGTAATTCATTTATCCTTGAACAGAGGTTTAAAAGGCCTCACCGTAAAGCTAACATTTTCTACTCAATAAATGGCTGGGGCAATTAATATTAAGCCCTGTAGTTATTAAAAAAAAACTATCAAGGATATAGGAATTAATAACATACAAAATATTGGAAAATTATAAATACCGGAATCCTTTCCAAAGGATTTTGATATTCAGCCGAACGGCTTCTATTAAACGTAAAGGGCGCCTCTCTTTGCCTGAAAAATTTGTTTGATATTTTTTGAAGATTAACTAATTACCAAATGTCGTCATCTATAAAATCCGTGGATGAAAAAATGATAAATAAAACACTAGGAAACAACAGAAAAGAGTTGAGTCTTTGTAACAAACTCAAGTTTTCTAAACTTTTGATAATTGAAACTTAGATTGTTCAATCATAGTTAAAAATGTCTAAGGTTTACGACTTAGGGTTGCAAAGATATACGAATTAGAAAACCAGAGTTTGTGGCAAAAACTCAATTCCTTTAGTTTTATTGTTACAATATACAGAAATACATATTTGGAATCTTTATAAAACTCTCTTCAATGTGTCACTTTAAAGTACATATTCACGTTTCTTCAGTTCATCAAGTTTTATTGATACAATATACAGAAATACATATTTGGAATCATTATAAAACTCTCTTCAATGTGTCACTTTAAAGTACATATTTACGTTTCTTCAGTTCATCAAGTTTTGAGAAAAGAATCCGATTCGATAAAAACAAAAAATAACAAACAACAGTAATAAAAATACACTTTATGGAGAAAATGCACTTCTTAATGATTCCTCGTGAGATGAAAATACAGTAAGGCAAAGTTTGAATTTATTAATTAATTTAACAATGGCTGAAAATTAGACTAAAAAATAAACAATATTATTTCGTTCTTAAAACCTGCAGTAGTTACTTTAATGTGTGAACGAAAATGTAACCTTCAATATTTTTATTGTAAGATTTTTTTCTGTGAAGAAATGGTGCAATTCTTATGTTTTCTATTAGACATTCTAACTGCATTGTTAAAATTTAAAAAAAAGACAGTCTCAAATAACCTTTTTTAAGCCAGCTTCCCCCACTTTGAACTTTTAAAAGCGGATTTACTCCTTTTTATGTTTTAGTTTTAGTTTTAACAATTTTATAAAATAAAATAGTTGACACAATTTTTCAGGGTTGCCTTTTCTCCGCTCACACGTCTGCGATCAGTTCTTGAGTACATTCTGGGACATACTCTTTGACACGTCTGCTATCAGTTCTTGAGTACATTCTGGGACATACTCTTTGACACGTCCGCTATCAGTTCTTGAGTGCATTCTGGGACATACTCTTTGACACGTCTGCTATCAGTTCTTGAGTGCATTCTGGGACATACTCTTTGACACGTCTGCTATCAGTTCTTGAGTACATTCTGGCGACATACTCTTTGACACGTCTGCGATCAGTTCTTGAGTGCATTCTGGCGACATACTCTTTGACACGTCTGCTATCAGTTCTTGAGTACATTCAGGCGACATACTCTTTGACACGTCTGCTATCAGTTCTTGAGTACATTCTGGCGACATACTTTTTGACATTTTTGTTTTCCTGATTTTTGCCTCCCTGGTCATTGAATCTTCTATCATGGCCTTGGTGAGAGTTCGAAAAAAAATGAAAAAAAAATATTTTTTTAAATCCTTGTAATTTTCTTCTCTATAACAAAGAATATTTTACCTGCCAAAAATAGATTGACCGGGGTTTAAAGCTAGATCAGCTTCAATTCTTCTAAAATAAGATTATTATCGATATTTTTGGTGTGTGTGTAGACAGTTATCATTTTAAAAAATAGGAAAGGAGAAAATATTCAACTTTTTTTCTTTTATTTCTTACCGATTTGTTTCTTCCAAAATTATCTTCAATTCTTGTCCGAGTTTGGATTTAGTCGAATCAACTTCAGGATTCGCCAGAAATTTACTGAAAGGAATTGAGTCTTTGTCACAAACTCAAATTTTCTAATCTCTATATATTTGCAACCTGATGGTGTAAACCTTTGATATTTCAAACTTAGATAGTTTAAAATATAAAGGGTCTACGACATTGGATTGCAAAGATATATGGATCAGAAAATCTGAATTTGTGGCAAAGACTCAATTCCTTTTCTTTAAATTACAAAAAAATCTCCAAATTTAGAGCGAAGAGCTATATTAAACAGAAAACATTGTCAATGCAATCATAGGTTTGTTAAACGTGTCCAGTTTTGTTATAAAAGGCCATTGGTAATAATTTTAGCAGATTTTTAAAAAAAAATTTTGAAAAGTAAATGAAAAATTTATGAAAATTATGAAAAGTTTTGAGTTTTACCGAAGGTTCTCCCTGTTCTCTCGAACCTGCTCTAGGGTTGGTTCATCTAGATCATCCAGGTCGTACTCTAGAACAATATCATCATCCTTCATCCCTCTCATATCATAATTGTCAACCATCCTGATACCATCTGTGGTTCTTATCTCATTCTTATCATCCATCCTGATTCCATCTGTGGTTCTCATCCCAAACATACCATCCTTACCATACGTGTCATTCATCCTATCCCTAGTATCCATCCTATCCATGGTATCCATCCTATTCCTAGAATCCATCCTATCCATGGTATCCGCTCTATCCATCCCATTTATTCCATCCGTTCTTCTCCGAAAATCCTTTATTTCATCCAGTTCCTCCTGGTTTATCCTCTGCAATCTACTAAGTTAAGTATTGTTACAAGGTTTTTCAATAAACTGAATGTTTGTTTAATATTTAGTTAAAATTGGTCTGTTTGGCTGTTATTTGTTTATTTAAAGGAACTGTTCACGTATTTTCCACCGACTTTCCTTTAAAAACTTATTTGCCCATTTTACGACAATACTCTTTGCTCATTTGTTTTTTAAACCCAACTTTTTTCTTTCTGAAAATATATAATTTCAAGGCTATAATGCAAGAAAAGTTATTTTAGTGGTGTACGCAGCTTTTGTACTGCAGTGTACTGTCTCTGGGCGGTAATGTAAACACAAGACGGATGTCACAGCCTGACATGGGATCCATCTTTCACATAAAAAATCAATGAAATATTCTGGTCATAGGAAACTATTATGTGAATTATTAAAATCATCAAAATTAAATGCTTTTATCCTCCACGGATACTAAACGAACACTGATGCATCTATTCTTGTTTACAAATTCCGCCCAGAGAAAACTGGTTTCAATATGTACGCAGAGTATACGCAACTGCAGTCAACTTTCCTTGCATTACAACCTTGAATTGGAGTATCTCTGTAAAGAAAAATTTGTTATTTCCCTAATTTTTATATTTTTATCAGATTTTAACAATCGGGAATGTAAATCTTTAAATGGGGGGGGGGGGGGGCAAGGTGGAGGGCGCACAAGAAATTACGTCAATTGTTTCTTTAACTTCTAATTTATTTCACGGTTTGAGAAAAATATTAATATTTCATTTTGTTGTTTAAGAAATTTTAATGAAAGGATCTTTACAATATTATTTTAATTAATTTGAAGTTATTCAAAGATTTCCAATTTTTTATGAAATTGAAAAAACTCAATTGTCAAGGATGGAACTATCGTCTGAGCACAAAAACACTTTTGTTACAATTCTGGGATCTACACCGCTTCTGAAAACTGTAAATTTAACAGAGGTTGTCGGAAATTATCTAATTAATCGAGTTTTCAGAAATAAAGCATTCTAAATTCTTTGTAATAAATACTATCAATAAAAAGACAATAAATGTAGATAAATATATATATTACATTGAACAAATGTTATAAAACTGCACAGTTGGATTTTATTTCCAGTGACTCTCCATAATCATTTACAAAGATACCTTTTAAGCAATTTTGTAATAAAATTAATGAGATATCCAAGCTATTATCTTTAAAAATAGTTATTTTACTGTGGTTTCTCTAATAAAATAATTATCTCTGATTAATCTCTTTTCAAACCAGAAAACTACAATATCTCTTCAGGAAGATTCTTCGTGTGAATTGTGAATCGATTATGTCAGTAAGTTATTGAAATGTCACTCAAAGTTCTGAGCCCCAATATAAGCTTAATACTCTTCCTGTTCCAATCCTCGTCTTTGATTGGGTTCAATAGGCTTTCTTCTTGTTCTTCTTTCATATTATTATGGTTGTAATTATTAGTTTATTTTTCTTTTCAATCTTTCAGAATAAATACTCTAAAAAGAAGAATTTTATTAATCACGAAGCAAAATTCAGAAATGTATTAGTTAGCATACCTTATCAATTACATAAAGGATTGACCATCTTGTAAACCTTACGAATCTTACCGGCTAAATATTATTCTGATAAATATTCACGCAACCTCTTATTTTAATCTTTCAAAGTTAGATTATTTGATCTAACAGAATTCATAGTTTTAAATATCTAAGGTCTACGACATTGGGTTGCAAAGATGTATCAGAGTTTGAGACAAAGACTCAATTCTCTTTATTCCACAGATTTATTATTTAAAAGTCACTTTCAATTCTACTTTTGTCAACATGGAATATTAACATCAAAGGAATGGAGTCTTTGGAACAAAATCAAACATTTAAACCACAATATCTTTAGAACTCGATGTTGTAAACCTTTGATATTTCAAACTCAGATTACTTGACCTAATAGAATTCATAATTTGAAATATCTAAGGTCTGCAAAATTTGGTTCCAAAGATATAGTGATTAGAAAATCAGAGTTTGTGTCAAAGACTCAATTTCTTTGTTTGAGGAAAGTTTGAAATTTCGCAAGTTTCGTGGTTTCTTATGATTTTCAAAATATGCTCTTAATTCCCCGCATTTCCCGTGATCAATCCTGAATTTGCAAGTAAACATATGTTGTAATAGTCAAATAAAATAAATGAAGGTTAAGGACCTGTTAGTCTAAAATAATATGAGAAACCCAAGGATAAAATGTAAACAGTCCCTTCCAGAGAGCAGATGGAAATAATTTAATCTGAGTTAGGTATTGGAAATATTGCATAATTGGACTTTTTTAAATTTGATGAATTGTAAAAGTAAAAATGGTTTCCCAATATCAGCAAAAGTAAAAATAGTTAATAATAAATATAAAAAATATATTTAAACCTGGCCCGACTATTTAAACCTGGCCCGACTATTTAAACCTGGGAGGATTCAATGATAACCAGAAAACTCTCAAACAGCAAAACGACCTTTAGAATCAAGTAATGAATTTAAAAATCCAATTTTGCAGTGTAAACAGCCCTATTTCACTTAATTAGTGAAGTGTCTAGTAAAACTATTTGCTTTTTATTTAACAAAATCAAATAAACTTAATTATTGCTATTGCCTCCTATTACATTGTTTTTTTGGTAATCACTGTACTATAAGATTAAAGCATAATAATGGAAATAATATATCTTTACAGATAATAGAACAAGCATGAACTGAATATCTCATGGTTGCTAGGTTCTCCAGGTAAAGGGATACATACACGATAGAAACTATTTAACCAATCCATCAGATTTTTGAAACATCCAGTGGATTAAACTTAGAATCATAGATATTAAGATTTCAGAGCATTTCGCGATCCTTTAGACTAGTTTTAGCTTGATAATTCTTCTATATAAGTTTTTACTCCTTTTTCCTAATTCCATAAAAAATCAGGGGAGGTTTTTAAAAATAAAGAAATATTTTGAAAAAAAATTAATCCAGAGTACATTTTTGCCCACGCTTAGTGATAATACAATAAAAACTATGAGTATGGGTAATATTTGCATGTATTGTATTGTATACACTATACAGTATGTAATATATCCTGTATATATATTAGGAAATAGATATTAAACATGACGAAACCTCCCGGTACAGTTTCCTTTCAATCCTTGTAATTAGCATTTTTATCCAAACACTTGACGAGCAAAACATGTTTTTTTATATTCTCTGTCATGAAATTTTGCTAATAGGCGCGGCGCATAGAGAGATCTGAGTTTTTACTTGCACTGTTGAATTGTCAACTGTGCCTGTGTGTGTACATAGATCTAATTTTGACAAGGAGAGTTAGGACTCATGAGTTCACGATTGAATGAATTTCAATAAAGGATGTCAAGAAGAATGTCAAAACGGATGTCAAAAAGGATGTCAAAAGGAATGTCAAAAAGGATGTCAAAAAGGTTGTCAAAAAGGATGTCAAAAAGGATGTCAAAAAGGATGTAAAAAAGAATGTAAAAATGAATGTAAAAAAGGATTTCATAAGGTTGTCAAAAAAAATTTAAAAGGATGTCGAAAAGGATGTCAAAAAGGAATTCAAAAAGAATGCCAAAAAGAATGCCAAAAAGAATGCCAAAAAGGATGTCAAAAAGGATGTCAAAAAGAATGTCAAAAAGGATGTCAAAAAGGATGACAAAAAGAATATAAAAAGGGTGCCAAAAAAGTCAAAAAGAATGTCAAAAAAATTTCAAAAATGAATGTGAAGAAGAATGTCAAAAAGGATATCAAAAAGGATGACAAAAAGGATGTCAAAAAGGATGTCAAAAAGGATGCCAGAAAGGATGTCAAAAAGGATGTCGAAAAGGATGTGAACTGATATGTAAATGAAGGGTAATTAAAAGTTCTGTTTAGTGCTATTAAAATTAGCAACTCAAAACTTTGAAAAAGTTATTTTAAAAATCCTTGTTTTGATTTTTTCCTTTTTCATTATGCTTCCTTCACACTTATAGAACTTAGTGAAATGGAGAAAATAAGAAAGAAGCTAATTTTTTTAAAGAAACTGTTATTACGATTTTCTTATTTTTTGTTGATTCTTGAAATCATTAATCCTCCTGCTCTTGTTGTTTACATGATATTTGTCCTATAATTTTCCGTTTAATTAAAGGAGGGTTAGTGTGCCTAATTAATGAAAGGATTGCTAATTAATAGGTTTAATTCCCCCCTTCATTGAGAAGGCTTATGAACAACAACAAACATTTTCCAAGTTTCATTAATAGTTTCGAATAATTCCGGCCAAACAGAATAATATTAAACAAATTCTTTTGAAAACATATTTTTTTCCTTTGGGTTAACATACTTTTAAGTAAGAAGAGTAATAGAATTTTAAATTGCAAACACATCTTAACAATATTATATGGGATCTGAGCTGAAAACTTTAGAATAGGATATCCTTAATCCCGATCGCTTAATCTGGGTATCCAATGAAAACACTGTGACACTTTTGATTTTCTTCCTAGTCCTCTCTTTTGGATGTATAAAATTTACGTTTGATAACAATTACAAATGCGATGCTTTATCGATTGAACTAAAATCTAATTGAACTAAAGTCAGCTGTTGACAAGTCGGCTTTTAGAGCATTTGAACAAATATAAATTCAATCATGTTTTTATGAACTTATTAAAAACCCATTTTATCACATTTGTGAACTATAGCAATTTTGAACGTTAGTTTTAAAAAACATTAATCCAAAACTTACGTTCGTTCAATCAAATATTAGTTCAATTGATATGACACCTTTAACACCAGAATGGGCAGAAAGGCGCTAAAATTTAAAAAATTTAAAAGATAAAAAGTGTAACAAACATGATACGCTAATTAGTTAAATTTTAAACTTCTTTCTTGGATATCGAATGCGTATTAACCTAATCTCGGGTTTAGTGAAACCAGGAGATCAGGCATTGATCTCGATATCCATAATTCAAAAGTTTTCAGCTCAGTTAACATTAAACATTACGTATTCTTCTCTGAATATTACTTAAATTAAAATTTTTTAAAGAAACTGAAAAATTATTGTTCAAAAGTTTTTAATTGGATGAAAAGAATCACGGGAATATAAAGTCCCTAGAAATCCCGTCTTTTAAGAACACATAATTAAAAAAAAAATCCAAATTTCTAGAATTATAAGAAGAGTTACAGGCTTTACTTTAAAATTTTCTTTAAATGCTGCCGGGCCATCAAATTAGTAGAAAACGTCGTCACTTAATTCCCAGGTTTTTAGGATTTTAACCACTTTTTCCGTCAACATTCCGGAAACTGTGCAGACTTATTTAACTGTAGGAAATAATGTTGTAAATGTTTAAAAGAAAGAAAAAATCTTTATTAGAGGTTTTAGATTTGTTTTCTTTTTTAATTTCATGAAATTAATTGAACTATTGTTGTCAAAAAAGAAATTAAAGAAAAAATTAGATTTCTGAGAATTATTTTCTGTTCATTAGTTTTATTACGTTCTTAAGTTAATATTAAAAACTTTAATTGTGAGAAAAGTTTGTAGAATAATACAGGGATAGAAAAAGATATAGATCTAGGTTCAGGGTTTTCCTGTATCTCCGGGTACTAATTAGAGTTGGATGAGAAATTCAGGGTTTATCTGGAAGGACTGGTTTGTATTGAGTGCGGACGAAAGAAGCTAAGAGAGAGAGTCGTCCACAAATAAAAATAAATTGAAAGATGTTCAAAATAAAAATATTGCCAAATAATAAAATGCTGGAAATAAAACACGTGTGGTCCATCACATCTATTACACTGAGAACCAGAAAACTGTCGAATGTCGTCTTTGTGTTTCCTTTTATTTAAGAAATGTCACAAAGAATTATGTAATTTCAGAAAGGAATTTATTTTTTTCAACAAACTCTAACTTTTCCTTCCTAAATCATAAAAACCTGATGGTGGAAACCTTTGATTTTTCAAACTAAGATTAATTGATCTGACAGCAGTCATAATGTGAAATATCAAAGGTCTTCTATATTGGGGTCCTTAAATACATAGGAATTAAAAAATCAAATTTTGTTGCAAAAACTCAATTCCTTTCACGAAGAATTATGCAATTTGCAGATGTTGCAACGGACAAATCTCAGAAATATTTCGGGGACTTATTCAGAAATAGATCCACCAGTGGAAATTAGAAAAACTAAATTGACATTTCATAATTTTAAAGAAAAAATAAGGCTATACGCTAATTCTGTTTCTCCATTTATGTACAGGGTTACCCACATACAGGGTGTCCCATAAATATGATAAATAGTTATTAATGTCGTCTTCCATATACTGTATTAGATATTAAAGACTTTTTGCAGTTTATTTTGTTAAACAAATCTTTTGCTTGAATATATTTAAGTTTGAAATCAATTTTACAATAACATGACTGTTAAATAATATTTTGATTATTTTCTTTGGTATCAAACAACCTAACAAATTATGGAAGAAGACATTCAAACTATTCACCAACTTTCATGTTTCGTGGGACACCCTGTAGATAAAATGGCTGCATAAATTATTTGGCAAGAAATACACAACTTAGCAGGAAACGAACAGTATAAAGTTCGCACAGTCGTCCCTTAAGTCTCATTCTTTGTGGGTAACCCTGTATATACTCCATCCTCCCTAACTCTATCCCCCCACACTCTATTCTCCTCACACTCCATTCTTCCATATCTTAAAACAGAAACCAAGCTAAATCATACTATACGATTCCGGACAGTTCTTTTTAAATTTTTGTAATTAGTAAATGTTCTTCACGGTACTATCCTTCTTATATTTAATTATGTTAATCTAATTACAGTACATCAGTGTGTACTTTTTAAACTGCATATCTTTAATAACCAGTGTAAGCCTTTTCAACACATCTCTTATTTACACAATTAACCAATATTGCGTTATATATTCTTCTGCTGTTTTATATCCTGATCTCAATTCTGCTCTCCCTGGGTTCCTGGTATCCAGGTTCAGTACTCCGGGTTCCCAAACCCTCCAGTACTCAACCCTTATCCCTGAGTAGGCATATGGTCAACCACTCCTCTCAAATTATGAGTTTGGATCAAAAATAGATTATAGACGTGGCTAATTTATGAAACAACCGGGTTTCCGATTTTCCCAATATTTCAGAAAAATTCGATCGTTCTCAGGCTTCAAAGGTATCATTATCTCTTCAAAAAACACTGGATAAATCATGACAGCAAAACCTTCTCAGGGACTGCTAGCGATATCTGTAATGGTTCTCTCTGTTTATTCAGAAATATTTAAACCATTATTCAGGAACAAAAAAAAAGACATCGCAGGATTTCTACAACTAAAAAGACCGATATAAAACCATGAGTTTCATATCATATCTTAAAAAAAAATTTAATTGTTTTTAAATTGTTTTTGAAGAAAGAATTCCCTAAAATTACAGAAACAATCCCTTTAAACAAAAAGATAATGTTAAAAATTGTGATAAAAATTTGAAGTTTGAAATATTGCATCTGGAAAATCTTTAAATGACATTTATCACACCTTAATATACAGACATTCTTTAAATTCATCCAAATCTTTAAATGACATTTATCACACCTTAATACAGACATTCTTTACATTCATCCAACTCCGCTCAACTACAATGGGACCCATAAAACTGTGGACTAGGAAGACGACGTAAATTCAATCTTTTGTGTGTTTGGTGTTTTATAACTTTTCGATTGCACCGTTGCACGGTTTTACTAGTAGCTTGAAGATAAGCTTTTTATATGGAAAAATTACACCACAAAATGCATGTTTCTCATGTTCAATGGACCATTTAAATAATAACTTAAGTCAACAGGCATCTTCTTACTCCGCAATGGATGAAACCTACTGTAGCGAACATTCAGTATTATTTCATATCTTCCAAAATCTTGATGACCTAAAGTCAAATAAAATGCTTTTACTTACACAGTGAATTTTGCCAATTTCGCCGTTATAAACTGAAACCAGAAATAACGGCGTTGTAATTTCCAAATCTGCATGTTAAGAGATACTAAAACAGTATAAGTAAGTAAGTAAGTAGGGTAAACCCAAAGAACAATGCGCCATGTGAATCTTCAAAGTTAACCTGTAGCCGAATTTAAAGAATTTGAGCCGCGACTTAGATCCACCAAAACCCGGTTTAAATTAAGCGCCGGCAAAAATCTTAAAACATTTGATACAATTTTATGTGGAACCAAGCATATTTAAACCGCGGCTTAAATTTAAGCCGCGGCTCAAATTCTTTAAATTCGGCCTTCGGTGTTGAAATTAGATTTTTCATTTTAAAACTGTCTGGATATCTAGGCGTGAAATTAAATCATAAAACTCAAGATTTACGAGTTTGTCTTTCAGATTTTAATTTCTTTGATAATAATCCAGAATTCCGGTTTTAGTTAAAGGGACTGTAAGCGTAATTTCAAGTGACCCTCCATACCAAGATGACTGCGGTACCCTTGAAAGCTTTGTCTGATCAAGTATTAATTAAATATCAATATTATCTTTTCTTCAAACTGTTTATTTTCATTTGCGGGTTCTCTGCGAAAGTGACTTCAGCATTTATTGTTTAAAAGAAGTAATGAAATAGAGAAACTCACAGAAAACCGACGGACGACGGACATTGCCATCTTTGCATGGAGGATCACTTGAAATTAGACGTACAGTCCCTTTAATACAGTTTTTAATGCACAAAGCTCATGCGCCTGGACCGGTTTATTGATGAAGGGTCAGAGAACTTTGGAAATTTTATCATGAATAATATCGCTTATTTCTGTCTCAAGATTTAAATTTCTAGTGAAAAGCATTGATATTAGGCCTACGAGTCAATTAGTAAATGCCTCGTAAAAAAAGACGAATTTAGAGTCGTCATTAAATCTCTTGAATAAAAGAAGTTCAAAAGATAAATAAAGGTGTTAAAACAAACGCTTTATTTATTTCTTTAACAATAAAATAACAGATTTAAAACTTTAAATACACGCTTCTAAGAACACTGGACAAAATGTGTTTTATCCTATTCTATCCCTGATCCCCTGTATTGTGACGGGATAATGATGTTTATGATTGAAATAATGCCGCCATTAAACTATTAAACAAGAAAAAACTTGTTTTATTCCATCTTTAAATAGGAATTCTTCTCAGTTTATTAGTTTACAGTCAATTAGACATGATCCTTCACAGGTTGCATAAATCTGTCCGTTCGCATTTCTGTCTGTCTGTTTGTCACTGTCTATTTTGTATGGTGTCTATCCATTTAAACCTGACTTAAACGGTCGGTCTTTCTGTCTATGATTATGTCTGACTCTGAACTTAGCTCTCAACTCATTCCCAGTCATCAATTCTCAACTCATTCTCACACATCCCGGTTTCTTGACCATCAGGTTAGTGTTTGGTCGGTTTGTTTGCTCTCCCCCCTCCCTATCTTAGTGTCTAAAATTCGATAACCGCCAACAAATTTCGCTTAAAGGATCTATACTGTACTCCAGGTACAGAATATAGACTGTACTCCAGGTACACGATTTAGACTGTACTCCAGGTACAAGATTTAGACTGTACTCCGGGTACAGTATCTATACTGTACTCCAGGTACAAGATTTAGACTGTACTCCAGGTACAGTATCTCTATACTGAACTCCAGGTACAGGTACAGGATCTAGACTGTACTCCAGGTACAAGATTTAGACTGTACTCCAGGTACAGGTACAGGATCTAGACTGTACTCCAGGTACAGTACAGGATCTAGACTGTACTCCAGGTACAAGATCTATACTGAACTCCGGGTACAGGATCTGACTCGACCTCTGCTCAGTTCATGTCTGAACCCAGAGTGTGTTTTCCCTGTCTCAACCATGCAATATTTAGCAGGATCTTGTACAAAAGATTATTCATCCCTTCGTCCTCCCACTCTCCTCAGATACATTTATTTTAGCAATAAACTTTATCTTATCTTATCTTATCTAACTGTCTGTAGGTCCTAATCATATATTCTAAACAAAGGGGGAAAAAGTTCCAAACCATGGTTGGGCCAGCATCTGGCACTAAATCTCAGATTTTGGCCAAAATCCCAGTTTGGAACTCTGTTGCCCTGAAACGCCAACTACTGTGTATCTAAAAAAACAATGTTGTTCTTTCTCTATTTTCCCTGAAACGTCATAGCTCTAAACAAAACTTGGGTTGAAAATTGAAAAATAATTATTCCCGAATTTCATTTTGAAAATTACGTTAAAAAAGAAATGATTCTTTTATATTTAAAATACGTCAATTCTTTAGTTCAAAATATTATATTTTCTCTCTGATATGATAGAAATGAACCAAAAATAGGGATTAAAAAGCAAGAGAACAAGTGCACTGCAAGAGAATAGGAGAATAAGAGAACAAGAGAACAGGAGAACAGGTGAACCGGAGAACAGGTGAACCGGAGAACAGGAGAACAGGGGAACATGCAAACAGGAGAACAGGAGAACAGGAGAACAGGCGAACCGGAGAAAAGGAGAACAGGGGAACATGACAGGAGAACCGGAGAACAGGAGAACAGGAGAACAGGAGAACAGAAGAACAGGAGAACAGGGGAACATGCAAACAGGAGAACAGGAGAACAGGAGAACAGGCGAACCGGAGAAAAGGAGAACAGGGGAACATGAAAACAGGAGAACCGGAGAACAGGAGAACAGGAGAACAGGAGAACAGAAGAACAGGAGAACAGGAGAACATGGAGAACAGAAGAACAGGAAAACGGGGGAAAATGAAAACCATAAAGGAAGAGAACAGTACAACAGGGGAACAGGAGAACAGACGAATAGGAGAGCCCTAGAAAGCAGGAGAACAGGAAAACTAGAAAGCAGGAGAACAGAAGAACAGGAGAACAGGAGAATAGGAGAACTAGAAATCAGGAGAGCAGGAGAACTAGAAAGCAGCAGAACAGGATAACTAGAAAGCAGAAGAACAGGAGAACTAGAAAGCAAGATAACAGGAGAACTAGAAAGCAGAAGAACAGGAGAACTAACAGGAGAACTAGAAAGCAGAAGAACAGGAGAACTAGAAATCAGGAGAACAGGAGAACTAGAAATCAGGAGAACAAGAGAACTAGAAAGCAGAAGAACAGGATAACTAGAAAGCAGAAGAACAGGAGAACTAGAAAGCAAGATAACAGGAGAACTAGAAAGCAGAAGAACAGGAGAACTAAAAATCAATAGAACAGGAGAACAGGAGAACAGGAGAACTAGAAAGCAGAAGAACAGGAGAACTAGAAATCAGGAGAACAGGAGAACTAGAAAGTAGAAGAACAGGAGAACTACAAAGTAGAAGAACAGAAGAACTAGAAATCAGAAGAACAGGAGAACTATAAAGGAGAAGAACAGGAGAACTAGAAATCAAAAGAACAGGAGAACTAGAGATCAGGAGAACAGGAGAACTAGAAAGCAGGAGAACAGGAAAACTAGAAAGCAGGCGAACAGGAGAACATGAGAACAAGAAAACAAGAGAACAGGAGAACAGGAGAACATGAGAACATGAGAACAGGAGAACAGGAGAACAGGAGAACAGGAGAACAGGGGAACAGGAGAACAGACGAACAGGAAAACAGGAGAACAGGAGAACAGGAGAACAGGAGAGCAGGAGAACAGGAGAGCAGGAGAACAGGAGAACAGGAGAGCAGGAGAACAGGAGAACAGGAAAACAGGAGAACTAGAAAGGATTAAAACAAAAGACCAAGGAAACAGGAAGTCAGAAGAACTAGAAAGCAGGAGAAGAGAAGAGGAAACTATATTTATTGCTGAGTTTAAACAAAAGATGAATATTTATATCTATGAACTCAACAGTTAGAATTCCTGGATATTCTATATTTAAACATTCTTCAATTATCTGCTCATTGTATGGAGCATTGTACTAAACAGTGTCTTCCAACCTCAACTATTTTATCATTGTATAGTTTACTATTTTATCATTGTATAGTTTACTATTTTATCATTGTATAGTTTACTATTTTATCATTGTATAGTTTACTATTTTATCATTTTATAGTTTACTATTTTATCATTTTATAGTTTACTATTCATCCAGTTATTTAATTAATTAGATATTAAGCAAGAAAATACTTTTTTATTGCACTGTTAGTAAATAATCTAATATGTTGTTCTTAATATCTAACTAGCATTCTTTCAGTAAGTTCGAAATTCTTTCGGTAAGTTCAAACTTTTTGCGGTAAGTTCAAAGTTCTTTTGGTAAGTTTGAAATTCTTTCGGTATGTTCGAAATTCTTTCGGTATGTTCGAAATTCTTTCAGTAAATTTGAATTTCTTTCAGTAAGTTCGAAATTCTTTCGGTAAATTTGAAATTCTTTCAGAAAGTTCGAAATTCTAACAACAGTAAGATCGAAATTCTTTCGGTAAGTTAGAAATTCTTTCAGTAAATTTGAATTTCTTTCAGTAAGTTCGAAATTCTTTCGGTAAATTTGAAATTCTTTCAGCAAGTTCGAAATTCTAACAACAGTAAGATCGAAATTCTTTCGGTAAGTTAGAAATTCTTTCGGTAAGCTCAACATTCTTTCGGTACGTTCGAAATTCTTTCGGTAAGTTCAAAATTCTTTTGGTAAGTTCGAAATTCTTTCGGTAAGTTTGATATTATGAACAAAATGTTTTTTTTTCTAACAGTGTCACCGAACATTACCTTTTTGTTTTTAATTATATGCAAACTTTAATAGTATCTTTAATCTATATACAATACATATTTTTTATACTAGAAATGAGTCAATTAGTTGGAATTAGTAGATACATTTAGAAAACCGACATAATACAATTTAAAATTGAATTTACAGATAACTGAGTGTACAGAAAACAAATGACCCTGAAAAAGTTTTTTTTCTGTAAAAAATTATTTTTATTAAAACTTTAATTTTTTGGTATGCTTTTATAAGGAATAGTATTTTTTCTGTAGTTGATCTAACAATTATTTATCATTTGTTTTTTAAAATAATTTTTGAACGCCCTGTATGTTTTTAAAGTTGTAATGAAGAGGAAATCCCGGATTTCTGCCTAAATAGTTTATTTCCAGTTTAAACTAAATAGATCATCATATCCTTTATCATTCACTTCAATATACAGCATACAGCATATATGCAATATATAATTAGGTTTTATTCATCTAAAAATAAGAAATACACTCAAATTCTTTTAAGCACAAGAAAGCATGGTTTGATATATTAGTATTACAAGTTCTGTAAGTACGTGAGCCCATTGACAAATAATGTTATTTTTTTATGTTACGAAAGAATGCATTATAGTTAAACAAGATTATAGTTTTTAACATAAAATCCATGTTAGGTAAGAATTACATCAAACATGTTAAAGAGGCATACTGCATGCAGTTATATAACTGCATGTTTCCAGTCCAGTATGTCTGAAGTGGAACGGAAGAGGAATGCGGAAGTTCTGAAAAGAAACTTTGAACCGAAACCATCCTGCGGGGATACACCCTCACTCCTCAGCCCCTCCCCCACCCCTTCTGTATGCACTATTGTCCTAGTTGCGCCTCTGTAAATTCTATATTTCTTTTTATTTCAATTGTTCCTGTTTATGTTTCCCATCCTCCTGTTGATCTGTGAGAACTAGAACAGATTTCTTGATTTAATTAATCATAATTATCTGTATTCTCGGTTCACAGATTTAAGTAGACAACTCCTTTATGTATATTATATATATAGTTAAAGAGAAATCTACTACAATCTTTACCCTCTCTTCCCAAACTTACTCTCTAACCTCCTTCCTTTCCCTTCTTTCCCTTCCCTCCTTTCCCTCCCTTATCCTCACTTCTCCTTCCTTTCACATCCCATCATTGCAACCCTTATCCTCACTTCGATCCCCCTCACTTCTCCTTCCTTTCACATCCCATCCTTCCAACCTTTATCCTTACTTCTCCTTCCCACTTCTCCTTCCTTTCACATCCTATCCTTCCAACCCTTATCCTCTCTTCTCCTTCCTTCCACATCCCATACTTCCAACCCTCATCCTCACTTCTCCTTCCCACTTATTCCCTTTCTTTCATATCATCTTTCATCCTTCCAATAGACATTGTATTTTAGTTGTAATCTACCGGTATACTCTAGTATACCCACCAGGGGGCGTAATCACAGATTCTTTACAAACCGGGGACACTATACTTCCCATTCAAAATATCTAAGATTTAATTTCTTTTTACACAATTTGTTAGGCTAAACAAATTATAAAAAACTAACTTCAAGAAATAAGCAGTTCCCTGCCATGGTATTTTGTCCACTAAACTCATCGATTAATTATCAAATAAAATATAAAAATTGGTCCCGCGAGCCGGTAGGATTAACAGGGGGGGGGGGTATGGTAGTGGAAGGGGTAAGGGACTGTAAGAAGATCTAGAAAGTTTAACGAACGAAAGAACGGCATGAAAACGAAAGTTTTTTTCTAACGCAAGTTTTTTCTATCGAAGTTTATTTGTTAGATTTTAAAACTACAAATGAAAGGAACTGATTACACCACTCATCTCTAATAGTTTAGAATAGAGATGTGAATAGAATACAGATTAGAATAGAGATGTGAATAGAATACAGTTTAGAATAGAGATGCGAATAGAATACAGTATAGAATAGAGATGTGAATAGTATACAGTTTAGAATAGAGATGTGAATAGAATACAGTATGTAATAGAGATGTGAATAGAATACAGCTTAGAATAGAGATGTGAATAGACTACAGTTTAGAATAGAGATGTGAATAGAATACAGTTTAGAATAGAGATGTGAATAGAATACAGTAAAGAATAGAGATGCAAATAGAATACAGTATAGAATAGAGATGTGAATAGAATACAGTTTAGAATAGAGATGCGAATAGAATACACTTTAGAATAGAGATGTGAATAGAATACAGTTTAGAATAGAGATGCGAATAGAATACAGTAAAGAATAGAGATGTGGATAGAATACAGTATAAAATAGAGATGTGAATAGAATACGGTTTAGAATAGAGATGTGAATAGAATA